TGTTGTGAGGTTGTGTTGTGTTGTGAGATTGGGTGCTTAGAGTGGTACCAGTTTGTTGTGAGGTTGTGTTGTGTGTGAGATTGGGTGCTTAGAATGGTACCAGTTTGTTGTGAGGTTGTGTTGTGTTGTGAGATTGGGTGCTTAGAGTGGTACCAGTTTGTTGTGCATGAGGAGGTTGATGGTGAGGCAGAAGGAGAAGAGGAGCTTGTCCTTTTCGAACAGAGAGCGGCACACGTTCATGTACAGGGAGTAGGTGAAGTGCTCCTTCAAGATCTGCAGCCTGAAATATGAAAAAAAACAACAACAAAAAACAAAGAAAAATAACAAATTAGGCAAATCTGTGCTGAAATCGCACTACACTAACTAAACACGAATAGGACAAAACAGGTGGTCTGCGAAGAGCTGCTGTTAAAATGTGATCAGAATTGTTTGTATTAAAGCAGGAGCGAATACCAGGAAAAAATCAAAATACAAAAAAATACAAAATAACCAAATGAACTGAACCAAGATTAAACCAGAACCAAAGCAGGAGGAAACTGCCTCCACACAATGTTCATTATTTCTGTGTGTGTGTGTGTGTGTGTGTGTGTCTGTGTGTATGTATGTATGTGTGTGTGTGTGTGTGTGTGTGTGTGTGTGTGTGTGTGTGTATGTATGTGTGTGTGTATGTATGTGTGTGTGTGTGTGTGCGTGTGTGTGCATGCACGAGTGAGTGTGTGTGTGTGTATGTATGTGTGTGTGTGTATGTATGTGTGTGTGTGCATGCGCGAGTGAGTGTGTGTGTATGTATGTGTGTGTGTGTGTGTGTGTGTGTGCGCATGCGTGAGTGTGAGTGTGAGTGTGTGTGTTGTGCCCTCTGACCCTGAGCGTGGCCTTGAGTTTGATCTGACTTGTAGCGCCTGATCTCTCCAGCAGGAAGCGCTGGTCCAGGGTCATGTTGGAGATGTGCAGGAGGCGGCTCAGAGGAAGAGTCAGGACGCCCAGAGGAGTCTTCTTCTCTGGCTCCTTCACCTGCAAATATACACAAGTATATACAAAAATATACACAACTATACACAACTACGACTACTAATACTATTACTACTACCACAATTACTACATAGCTCCTTAACCTGCAAATACACACATTAATTACTACTAGTAATAATAATAATGTGTTTGTTTCTGTGTATTCTTCATTCACTCTCCACTAGTACTATTGTAGAAACAGCTGTCCTGGGGCAGACTGACACAACGAAGGCTGCAAGTCTGGACCATTAACCCCTCCCACCACCATCGGCACTCCACCCAATTTGACTGCTATGAAAGTGGCAAGTAAGTGCCTTGCCTAAAGACACAATGACAGTTTTAGCCACTGCTGCCCCACTGTGACACCTGGAACCCCCAGAGATCTCCCATCAAAGTCCAGACCAGCCCCAGCTCTACTTCATAAAACAGATCAGACCAGAGCTTTGGTGAGGAGGTTTGACCACACTACTACAACTACAACAAGTAATACCACTACAAATAGTTGCCCTGTGCAGTACTACTACTAGTTGTAGTAGTACTACATGGCTCAGTGGCAAGACACCTCTCTTAGTAAAAGTGCCTGGTAAAAGTGTAGAGTGTGAGTGTTGGTGGTGGGAGGGGCCAATGGTCCAGATTGGCAGCCTCACTACTGTCACTCTGCCCCAGGGCAGCTGTGGTTGATGATGTTTTCTGGCTAAATTCCAAAGCTCAGTGTGAGTAGTGAGGTTCTCACCTGCACTTGGAGCTGTTGTGTTTTGATGTTGTGCACAAAGAACGTGAAGCCCTCCTCCCACACGGGGTCTTTGGACGCGTACACCACCTGCAGGCAGACACACAAACCACAAGAGCTTTGAAACAACACAAGAAACAGGACTGAAATGTTCTAAAGACCACGTTTACCTTGCTCTTCTGCACGTCTTTATCCACAGACAGCTCCACAAACGAGTTGGGGTTCACCGTTCTCTTTGTCAACTGCACAAGCACCAACACAGTGGTTTCAATATGAACTGAACCTCTACTACTACTACTACTACTACTGCTGCTTCTACTTCTGTTACTATTACTTCCACTACTGCTAATGAAAAACATATTTTTTTTTTTTACTTTTTTATCATTATTTTTTAATTAATCTTGGCAATATAAAAAAGTTACAAAAAGGCAAAAAGGCCATGCAAATCTGATCCAGGAGCAGAAAGTGAGTATGCAAAAGAGTAGTGACATCACAACAGCAACATCCAATCACAGAGCAGGATTCCCACGCAAAGATCCAGTATGTCAGGTGTGATTGGTCAGTGCAGCGAAAGAAGGAGGAGCAACAGGAGCAGCACAAGCTCAAAGCAGCACAGCAGCAGAGGGAGGGGATTGTGACACGTCTGTAATCGACTAAAGACATGTGCTGTCAGTCGATTGGTCAACTAAAAAGGGGGGCGTGGCAAAAACTCTTAAAACTATTCTGCATCTTTGAGTATCTGACCCAAAACTGTGCTCACAAGACTACACCTGCAGGGGGAGCTCATGCAAAGACTGCTATTTATGCAAGGAAATAAAATACTAGGGAATATTGTATTTGTAAAGTAATCATGAGTTTAATCTGACTCTTTGCAATGAAATAACAAAAAATACCAAATCTTCAGCTCCCTCACTCACGTTTCCTTTCTGCTGTTGTCCCGTAGACATCCTGATCATCTCAACAACATAATTAGTCGTCTAATATAGATTTTGGGATGCAAATATTTTATGCAAATGAGATGCAAAGTGATTCTGGATTTTGTCGTGATCTGATTGGTGCAGATAAAGAAGCAGAGGCGGTGTGCAAATCTGAGGTGCAGGTTCCAAAGCAAAACAAAACAGAGCAGGTGATGAGAAGAGGGAGAGTGTGAGGGACAACAGGAACAGCAGGGGGCAGTAATGGACCGCACATACTGCAGGCAGTTTCACCCTCAGTCCCGTAAACCTGCTTATAGTCATGATTTTTCAGAAATATAAAATAAAAATACCAAATTAGAGCGATTTGAAAAAGGGCTTATATTACTTCTACTACATCACACACTGCTCCTACTGAGCAAAGATAACTCCAGGTCACAGAGCTGAGCAGGTTTGTGTCTGTGCTGTGAGGAAACTCACTTTGATCTGGCACATTCCTCCACAGATTCTTTCAGAGTCAAACCCCTCCCCAGTGTCTGCACACAAACTGTCTATGTGAACAGGCTCAGGAAGTCTGATCAATATCCCATTTCCAGAGTTGTCCGATTACTGAACATCTCATCTCATGTGCGTAATCTGATTTCTTGGAGTGTTCACACATGTGCAGGTTTTAACAAAGATAAGACATGTTACAAAGTGTTGTTTTTTTCTTCCTGTGATAAGATTTCTCTTGTTGTTTCAGACGTTTATTTTGCTCTTCAGTAGATTTCCACACTCACAATCTGCATAATAGTCCAGTTCTTATATTCACATTTTAACCTTAGTGGGAATTTTTGGGGGATTTGCTAAACTATATATTTTTGTAAAGGTTATAGTATATGGAGTCAGAAAATCAATGATGTCTATATGGTGGCCATATTAAAGTAAAAAAAATGGCCGCCATAAATTTTAAAATTATAGTATCTCGACTTCTGAATAAACTGAAATGTTGGTTTTTACTGCTAAACCCACAATATAAGGGTGCTAGTTACACAACATTACCATATTAATACTTCAGTACATGAGTAGATAATAATAACCCAGTGTGGTGGTTTTCTTGCAATATGTTTGTAATGAAAAGTTCACGTTTCATGCTCCAGCTGTTCTTCAAAAAAATACAGATTTTTTTTTATACCACTCACTAAAACATTTACTATCTCAGTATGTGAATGATTACAAAGACACTTGTTGCAGGCTTTCTAATATGGGCTGAAAATTCAGAATATTCAGAGGCTGAGATATGTCATGTTACAGGGTCTTGCATCTGATTTACACAGATTTTGTTTAAATTATTATACATAATTTCATAATCTCATCCTTGTGGACCAATGTCGTGTCTCGTGTTGTTCAAATAGTGTCTCGCCTCGCCTCTAGTTTGCACTTAGTTTAAAAGGTCCAACATTACACCAACTGGACTCTTGGATCTTAAAGCCATGTTGTTATCGCTTCAAAACACATAGTTTTTTGTTTCATTCACACATGCTTCATTAACATTATTAGTCTGTCTACAAACCACTTTGTGATGTCATGAGGCTGTAGTGTCATGAAGCTCACAGCCCCTTTTACCTGTAGTAGAGACTGGCACTTTCAGGACTGAAATCATCCAAAAGATTCTAGTGAAGGCGTATGGATTTGAAAAACACACTGGAGCACTTTCTGTAATTACCACATGACATCACAAGGTGGAACAAAGTATTTTCAGTTTCAGTTTGAGAGAAGAACTCAGCCTAAATGTGCAGGGTTTGTGTTAAACATGTCAAACATGTGTGAATGAAAGAAAACACAACTCCAGGTCTGTGTGTGATGAGGAAACGACATTAGAACAGAGATCAGAAAAGAGAGTCATATGGAGCCTTGAAATAATCTCAAATGTCCAGAAATCAAATCATAATCAGATTTGGGTGTGTGCGCGTTATTTTTGTCACACCGGTTTGTCCTGATGCGTTTCACTGGAGCGGCTCTGGGTGTGTTTAACACTTTAAACCATGTGACACTGTTTTTCTTTGTATTGTAACTTCGCACCACTGAAGCGATAACAAATATTCTCTCTCAAATATTTATAACCAGAGGTGAGCGGAGCAGTACTCAAGTTAACTCTAAGTTGATTTAAAGTATTAGTACTCAAGTAGAAGTACACAGAAGTGGTAAAAGTATTTAGAAATATTACTACTCAAGAGTAATTGCCAGGATGTAACATGATTTATAATTTAAAGAGTTAATGTCATTTGAAGAATAAAACATTAAATATTGCACAAAATCTGGTGTTTTCAAAGCACAGACACAAAAATGAGACAAACTAAATCAGATCTGAAAGAGCACTGCAAGAAGAGTACTGTGTATGCTGCTAGAAAAGTACTTCAAAAAGCTACTCAAGTAAATGTACATTCCACCTGTGTTTATAACCATGTACATGACTAAGCTAAGGCTAGGGCTTCTCATCCTTGTTGTGTGTAAAGATGAGACCAAGCCGTGTGCTCAGAGTGAAGAGGAGTGAACATGAGGGGTGACAGGTCTTACCCGAGCCTCTTTGACGTGCTTGCCGTGTTTCTGATGCTGGCTGAACTCACTGTGGTCTTTCTGCACACACATACAGGTTCATATTAAAAATCAAACATGTCAAACGGAATAAAAAGCTTAAAAAGCATTTGTCACACACACAGTGCAGTGCCTACAGTAAGCATCACATCCCCATGGAAGGCTGAGGACATCAGCTGCAAAGTATCAATAAATGGAAGAAGTAACATCATAAAGTGGGACCATTACTCAATTTAAAAAGCACAATGTTTTTCTGCAACAGCATAAAGTCACAGGTGGTGTTCAGTGAGTTCTACAGGCTTCTGCTCGTCCAGGGAAATGCTCAAATCCAACTGTCCAACAAGCCCAGCCTGTGAAACAAGAGCACTAAGAGAGGAACGTCACACACAGCTTGGAAATAGAAACCCTGGGATCATGTAGAGCCTGACAGCAGCAGTTACAGAGAAAAGGGGCAATGGTTTTTCAATAGAACGTGAACTGGAGCCAGAATCGATGGAGCTGAATCACACCCACCCAGGCTCACTTCCTGTTTGGAATGTGGCGGGTTGGCTACGTCCACTTCTGCACTCTGAGAACACCACGGCTC